ATTGTAAAAACTCACATTTGTCAAGCATTGATTTTGCATATTGTCCTTGATTAATAGTTGTGGAGACGTCCCCATGTAATATCATTAAATGTGGAAGTACAACTTATCAACATGCTAGCATGCTAGCTAGCTAACACTGTCTGCTTATAAACACTTTGATCATAACAAAGTATATTAATTTTCACCACTGCTCAATTTAGAAAAGCCACTGCAAGAAATCCTAGAATGTGTGTTTAGATCCCATCATCTGCATCCAGGCAGAGAAAATGTAAGGCATCTTAACATTAGCGATGTAGCTAACATAGTTAGCATGCTATCTATGGCTGATCGCTGACAGCTAGAAGCAAACGACGAGCCATTGTCAGTTTATTAATCTAAACAAAGAACATGTTTGCTTGTGGTGTCTTTTTCAAAATGAACAGTGGTGAGAGTTTCTATATTCTGTTATGATCCAAGAGTTAATAAGCAGACAGCGTTAGCTAGCTAGCTAAAAAGTTGTCTGTTACTTCCACGTTATTATTATTATATGGGGACGTCTCCACAAATATTAACCAAGGACAATAAGACAAATCCACGTTTTACAAATGTGAGTTTTTACAGAACTTATCTTTCACCACTCAGTAATTCTGTAAACCAAACACACCGTCCTCTATGGAGTATCCAGCAGCGATTGTAGCCTAAATATCGACATTATAATTCAAACTTTATTTTCTACTACGGCATCCTCTGCGACGGTTTTCTATAAAAATGAAGGTTATCTTATTCTGTATTCCTGTTTAAACATCCAACAGCACAAGAAGACATTTTTATTCTGGGTATGTCGACTGTTTCTCTACAGTGTCCACTGTTTTTCTGCCACCAGTATGCGCACGCAACTGCTGTCACGTAACTGTGACGTCCACTCAACATGTAGGGCTGTAGGGCCCATTTTAACCCATTTATTTATTTATTTATTTAGACGTTTAGTGATCAGGGACAAATGCGTTAACCATTATTTCATGTAAAATACAAAAGAGATGTCATGCATACAAGTTTCTAGCTGAAGCTAATTGGCTTTTGCTATTAAAACAGAGTTCGTGAGCAACTTTAAAAACAGTACAAAAACATTAATATACAAAACATATAGACAAAGACAAAATCAGAACATTTACTACCCAAATGGGCCGCACATACATATGGGCGGGTATGTGCATAGACGTTCCAATTGGCGAGTAAATCTCAGAAGATTTGCGCCAAAATAGTCATGTCATAAAAAACTATGCTGAATTTTGGTGAGTTTTGGTGTCATTAAGGGTGCACGGCTCTGCTGCTCCTCGGCTGTCAGTGTCAAAGTTTGACATGGAAAGACACACACGCTACAGATGTGTTTTTATGCGCATCTAAATGGTGCTCCAAGTTTTACGGCACTGTTTACCACACGCGACATGAGCTGATGTGAAGCTGAGGGTTATGAGTTGCGCCCATACTTATGAAGGCCATTAAATGATAACATGCAGGCTCCGTAGTCTGGACCAAGACGACAAACTCTATTGCCTCCCATATTTTCAACGGCAGCACATTACAGCCTCACTCCATTCATTCTGACCTTTCACAATAAAAGCCCTACACATAATACACTGCATCACTGTTCACCAGAGGGAACTTATTCACATGCTGAGGCTGTGATGATGAGTTGTTCAATATTATTTTGCTTTGGATTTTGCTCTGGCCTCTTCTTTAAGCTTGTGTTTAATGAATGATGAATGAGTGACTTAATTTCGAACCAAAAATAAAAAATATACATAACAAAAAACAACCAAGACAAAGATAACAGTACCCGAAAATAAGTAGTAGAAGTAAAACTTAAATGTTCCTACCCCTTTCTTACATTTCTTCTTATAACTCATATATCAATTCAACAAATTCCCAGTTTATTTACAACTAATATACAACTATCCCCAGTCTATTTACCACCCAAATAAATTACTAATGAACTGTACCGAAGTGGATGTATATGCAACAAAAACAAAACAGCAGTTTTTACTTTTGGCTGGTAAAAATATGCCTCTCTGGTAAATTTTTCATCTGCCAGTCTCCTTGACCAGTAAATCAAAAAGTTAGTTTTGCACACAGTGGACCAATTAAAGCTACTCCAACAATTAAATAACTTTATAGGCCATTTTTTGCAGTAATTACCTTGAACTCAATGCAGCATTTTCTCATCACTCCCTGTCATTGCCCCCAGCACAATTTACTGACACATAAAATCTGTGTGAAGCCTCTACCTGAGAGTTACTGACATTGAAATACAGAGGAAATAAAGTTAAAGGGGAGCAACATCGAAATTGAGAATTCCTGTGTTTTATTTCAGTGGCCAAGGAAAGTTTGCCTAACTTTAGTTTCCACAACAGTCACTCTCAATGACTGCTGTTTCCTGGTCTGCTGGTCAGCCGATCCAGTGAAATAGTTAATAGAAAAATGGTCCACAGGACAAAAAAGGTTGGGAACCCCTGTCTTAAATTTTAAGTAAAAGTTTTTGCTTGAGTTTAAGGTATGAGCAGCTAAAACAGAACCAATTTGGAGGTTTAACTGCTGACATGTGACAAACCTTCGTCAACTTTGATTGTGTTTTTATTCCTAATGTCTACCATACGCTAGAAGACTTTGGAGAGACTTTTAGAAGACTAAAGTCTGACACTCTCTTACATATACCAGGAATGCAAGTTTTTAGACACACACTAATGCCTGTTCACACTACATGATATCACCCCGATTATAGCCCAATGCAGCATCGTACGGTGTCGACATTGATCGTGATCGACAATGAGCGTTTCATCTTGTGTAATACGTCATATAGACGACAACCAACGCCACGTCTGGGACGCCTCATGATGTTCCAACAGAAAGTCTAGCATGTTTGATTTTCTTTTTGTCACTCCCGTCACAGCCGTCACTTTGACCAATAGGAACACAGAGTGATCTGCTGCCGTGGAAATGGTACGACAACAACACCCCAGCTTTTTAAATATTTCCCGTAGGGACGTTACCACACAGAGTAAAAAGGAAACAGCAGAGGAACTTTATTAACCCGCTGAGTACTGCCATTAGCATCAAGCTAGCAAAGAATGTTCTTTCTTCATAATGGAGGATATAAAAAAATAAAATTTAAAAATAGTGTCTGGCTTTTACTTACCACAACTGTAGAGGCTACCAGCTTCATTTGAAACAGATCTTTTTATTATTCCCGCAGCATTTTTGTATTTTTAATCTGCTCCTGTTTGCCTTGATAAAGTTAATGCATCGTTGCGTCATTTCAAGACACAGTGACTGAAATAATAGTAATAATGCTAAAAAATATGACATAATGGCCTTATACGTCAACAGCATTGTAGCGCCCCTTAACTATGAGGCTATGAGACATTGCTGGCTTTTTATTTTAACTTTAAGACACACTGTTGTGGGCCATCGCCAACACCAAAACAACAAACCTGTCTGCTTTACAAGGTGTCCTCTGCATAAGCGGCTACTTCATAAACTCCTGCTCCTCAGCAAGTACACCAACCCTCCCTCCTCAAGCCTCTGTCAATGGTGGGTGTCTCACACAGACACTGTCATAGGTGCTGGTGTTGACTGACAGGCTTCACAGCATCTTAAAACACACAACTTCACTGGGAGTGACACGTTCACTGACATTACAGAAAACTCACTAACTGCCGTAACAGACCTTTTTATTTTATTTTATTTATTTATTTTAAAGATATTTTTCTGGGCATTTTTAAGCCTTTATTTGATAGGACAGATGAGTGTGAAGGGAGAGAGAGAGGGGGAGTGACATGCAGCAAAGGGCCACAGGCTGGAGTCGAACCCGGGCCGCTGCGGCAACAGCCTTGTACATGGGGCGCCTGCTCTATCCACTAAGACACCGACGCCCCACAGACCTTTTTATTGTAGGTGAACATATATGGAGCTACATTAGGGTCAAATTTTCTAGGGTCTATTGGTTGTTGGCAGTGTACATGTCATAGAACTTCAATATTCTCAGACTAAAACCCTAGGATAATATTAAACATATTTGATTTTGTTGGAATGTAGAGATGAGAAAAAGACTTAAGACAGTTTGCACTGAGTTTTATGACGACGACCTAATGCCAAACAATCGAGATCATGGAAGCGCAAAACAACTGAGGTAAAACTTATGAGTTCACTCTCAACATCAGAAATCTGTCTGCAAAAGGGAAATTGTTTGTAAAAGGCATTTGGTGTAAGGTCAGTATAAGACCACACACAATGTGGACGTACTAAACAACCTCTTCAGCTGCAGAGTCGAGGTTATCCTGTGTTTGTGCAACAGACTGTGAGCAGTCATCTGTCCTGCTGCTGGATGTCCTCTGTATTCACCTGTGATAAAAACCTGTTTGCTCTGGTACAGTGATCAAGAGCTCACCAAATAACTTTGGTCGACACTTTGTACATTCATGGACATTTTTTAGAAGTTCCTGTTTTAGCTTTTATTTTGCCTTTATTTTAATCTTTCAGAATAAGTGCAAATCTGATTCTTCATTTTTCTGTGTCATCTCTTCTTTTTCTTTTCTTTCAGTAAGAAAAATATGAATTTCTCCATGTAATATTTCTCAGCCAAGTCTTTCTGTGCCACTAGCTCCAGTCTCCAGGCCGTAAACTCTCCAGGTACCTGATAGGGTTCCTCTGTATCTCCTCAGTGTGCTGTTATTCAGAGAAGCCATTATGTCCCAGCACCCTGCTCATGTCAGAGCTGCCTCTGGAGAGGTCAGAGCCAAGCGCTCTGTTTTTAAAAATGCAATAGAGATTCCATTATTTGGCACACATAAAAATAAGTCCTAATGATCTATTATTAATGCTAAAATGTATTGATTTATTCATGAAAGTCTTCTTTTGTCCCTCCCTGGCCGTAGAGAAGGCTGCAGCAGAAATGGCACAGAAATCAAAATAGAGGCTGTTCTATTTTCCGCCGTCCCTGATTGTGTGTCTTCGTGTGCGGGCAGGTCGCTGTGTGTGATTCTGGTGTTCAGCACCAAAGGACAGAGGTACCTGCGGGTCGGGCTGGCTGTGCCTCTGTTCGGCTCCGTGGCCTGCCTGAGGAGGATGGTGGCTGACGAGGGGAAAATCTCCCCAGACCAGGTAACGTATAGCAGGAATAAATACCCAGATTACTCTAACTACTGTGACCGGGCGGCCCAGCTTCACCTCAGCAGAGCGTCATTATAGTGATTTGTTTATTGTATTGTTACCTTTTCTCGCACGCCATTGGCTGAAATGAGCTCTTACTCACTTGGCTAAAATACAGCTGAGATTAGGGGGAATAATAGTGCAAAGGAAGGCGTCCATCAAGTGGGTTCAGAGTTCGCTCTCACAGCATTATGAGATTTATGAGATTTGGCACTGTAACAAGGAAACTAAAGTGTGTGTGTGTGTGTGTGTGTGTGTGTGTGTGTGTGTTTGTTTGTTCGTCTCCAGGTGATCCTGACGGAGGTTTACTCCACAGGGTTCCAGCGCTCCTTCTTTGATGAGGACGATCTGACCAGCATAGCTGAGAATGATGTCGTCTACGCCTTCCAGGCTCCGCCCCTGTACATCAGAGGAGGCTCTGCACGCATCTCAGGTATTAAGATAAGATAAGATAAGGAAATTGCAGTGCAGCAGTTGCAATACAGTGTTGGCAGAGTGACGATACAAAGACTCAAATAAAATCACAGTAGGTGCAAATTATAAAATTAGATAACAGTAAGGTGCAGTCCAATATATCATGCCAGAGTTAACATGTTATCATTATGGATGATACAAACACTCGGCAAAATATTATTAAAGGGATAGTGCACCCAAAAATGAAAAGTCAGCCATTATCTACTCACCCATATGCCGACGGAGGCCCTGGTGAAGTTTTAGAGTCCTCACATCCCTTGCAGAGATCGACGGGGGGGAACGGGCAGCACACCTAATGGCTGATGGCGCCCCAGACTAACGTCCAAGAACACAAAATTGAATCCGCAAAGTATCTCCATACTGCTCATCCGTAGTGATCCAAGTGTGCTGCAGCCGCGACATAAAAAGTCTCGTCAGTACTGATGTCCAGATTCTCAAGTGCAGGCATCGCCAATTCCCAGTCTGAGCAGCAAAAACTTTCCTCATCCGTTGGCATTGCTTTGCATTTGAAACAACTACACCACCAGGTTTCCAGTGCTCGACTCCAGTATTCTGCAACTGGCTGAGGCTCATGAGCTGTGGCGGCTGCTTCGTCCAGTAGCCTGAGTTCCGTGCGTATACTCGGGCTCAAACAAATATGGCTCAACAAAGAAATGCTGTTCCTCCTCAATTTCAAAGTCTTCAGACATGTTGGGCTGTCCTTTGCTAAAAGACCGTAGTGCAAATTATCTTTTAGCTCCGTGGTTACTGTTGTCTCCCCCTGCAGCGCATGTGTCACGTGATGTAAACACGGGTGAGCAAAGCTCATGCTTTCGCTGGTCTCGCGCAAGCGCGCACACGTGAACGCGAAGCACAGAGAAGCAGTCAGAGCTACAGGCTACAGTGAGGCATATGACGTTTTTCGAAACAACTTTTTATGTCGCGGCTGCAGCACACTGGGATCACTACGGATGAGCAGTATGGAGATACTTTGTGGATTCAATTTTGTGTTCTTGGATGTTAGTCTGGGGCGCCGTCTACCATTAGGTGAGCTAGCCACTCCACCCGCCGATCTCTGCAAGGGATGTGAGGACTCCAAAACTTCAGCAGGGCCTCCATGGCCATATGGGTGAGTAGATAATGGCTGAATTTTCATTTTTGGGTGCACTATCCCTTTAAACTGTATGAAATAATGGAAGCGGCAACTGTGACGTCACCAGGACTGTACCTGACTCAGAATAGTGTCAGTCAGATCAGATTTGGCTGTTCAATTCAAATATTCGATCATTTGTGCCTTTTTTTTTTCTATAAAGAGTTTTAGAGTTTGAACGCGGTTCAGCAAGACGTTCAGTGACAGCGATATTCAAATGTAAACAAGGTAACTGCGCTAATGATGGATTGGATATGTGCAACAACTTTTTCTGCAGACAGGATTTTGTGATAACCACATATTATTACTGCAGTATTCAACTAGGCCTTTTTGATAGAGTATCAGTATGTTGTGCGCACCTATTTCCTAATTAAGAGGCAAATTGTAGCTAAAAAAATGTAATTTAATTTAATTTAAAAAACCTTTACAGGGAACCTTTATCGCCATTTGCATGTGGGATTTGCAAGTGTGTAACACATCATGGACGACATGACAGCTCCCCGAAAGTGAAGCTGAAACATCTCGATGGCCTCCTGGTGGCTGGCTGCAGTATATGTCTTAAAGCCCGCCCCCTTCATGTTAGTGGATAAGACACGGGCAGATGGCTTTTGTCATTTAAAGTAGTTTTTATCACTTTGCTGTTTGTTCAAGTGTTTGTTTTTCTGACAGATTTGGTTTTACTTAGTTATTTAGTGCTACAAAACAGGGATTTTACAACATGATTGACAGCTGTGTGGGCCAATCAGCGGGCTCGCATTCAGTGGCGCTGCTCGCAATTGGTCAGATAGGTGTATGGGCTCTGGCTCCAAATGACATCAACAGAGAAAGATGGCAGCGGCCGTATCCAGAATATTTTAGCTTCGCTTCTGTACAGTGAGTGTGACTAGAGACGCTTTGTCCATCTTTATAGACATGACAGCCTTCAGCACAATGCATGATGGGATATATAGTGTGTTTAGTGACCATCATTATACACTACTGTTAATGATGCATTTTGGGGGACTTTGAGTGCACTATATAAGGTATAATAATATCCACTATACATTCAGACATCACTACAATATGGGGAACTCAATATATAGTGGACTATGTAAGGCAGAGGGCGGAGACTAAGACAGTTTTTGCACACAAACATGTTTATTTCTGCTGTTGTTGGGCATTTAAACACAGAGGTCTGTGACTCACTCTTGAAACCAGCCTCAAGTGGCCATTAGAGGAACTGCAGTTTTTGGCACTTATTCATTGGCTTCATTTCTGACAGTTTGAGAGCAGAGGTTGCTGCCTGAGTATAAACAGCATAGTTACAATCTAACAGCCATTGTATTTGAGTGTAACTAGTTTTTCACCCACCATAAAATGGATGTACGCTCAGAGCAGTAAACAAACAAACCCATTTTATTAATTGACTTTGCTTAATGAAACCCTGTGGGAATCCTGCAGGGGGCCCTTAGAGAGCACATTAAGCAGAATATAACTTCACATAGAGCTCTGTGAATTACACCCCCTCTGTGCACATCAGATTTATGTCTTCATTTCATCTGTTTTTCAGCTGGTGATGTAAAACGTGTGTTCTGAAGTACCTCGGTGCGTACTATCCCCTTGTTTCATGCTTTGTGGTGTAAACAAACCGGTTCTGCTCTGTTGTCCTCTCTCGCAGGGCTGTACGTGCAGTCCCAGCACTGTGTCAGTGCTGCTGTTGCACATGAGAAATATGACTTTTAGTGCTTTAATTATATTGCTTAGTGACCGCACAGCACACTGCTGCCTAAGAGGAGGCCCCCCTGACAGTCTGGCTGGTCTGTATGCTGGCACAGTGTAACTCCCCTGGGTTCTCACTGGCTCAGCCTGCAGGGGTTGATATGGAGACTCTACTGTGTCTCACCACTCAACACTTTTCTGTGCACTGCAGATTGTCCTGTCTTTCACACTGACATGTTTTCCCTGGGAGAATACATGTAAGATAGTCTCATTTAAAGAAACATCAGCATATTTCGGAAGTATGTGTGTTTGCTCTCAAATATAGACTGTGTTCAGGCAGAGGTTTGATCTTTTCAAATCTGATTTGGGCCACTTTTATGTGTGGTTTTATACCCAACACAGGCCTGATTATTTGCAATGCAATCTCAGTCTGGACAGTTATATTTAAATTCATGCAAATTTTACGTCACTCTTGACATCTTGTTCTCAACCTGGGGGGCCCAGCCTTCACAGGGGGTTGGCAAGGCCCTTTTGATTGGCCTTCAGTGCCGCAGCGGATCAGATTAATCAGTGTCAATTCTTTTAACGCGTTATTTTTTCTGTGATTAATTAATCAAAATGAATGTGTTATTTTGACAGCCTTAATTAATATATATTACCATTTCATTCCGCCATGATTTAAATTTCTTTATCATCTCCTATGGTCATGTCTCGCATGTGTTACACTACACTGCCTCCAACATCTCCAGTGGTACAACTTTGTTTCATCTGAAAACGTGCACAAGTATGGACAAACTGAATACAGAGTACAGACTGAAGGCTCCATCCATCTCCATCTCTGTCTCCATATCTAACGTTGAGCCTAAATGAGCCCTTACAGTCAATATTAAATCAGAACAGGATGTCACTCATGAGCACAGTCAAAGTCGTCGAAATCCCGCACTTGTGCAGTGTCTTGCAGCGCCAGAGACCAAGGTGAAAAAGCGTCCTTGAACGTTTGCATGAAATGCGGCCAGTTGCTGTTATAGTTTAATGGCGCCTGGCAGCGTCAGGGGGAAACACAGTGAAACAAGGACGAAAGTTAAGGCGGAGAAAGTCCAAGTGGGACAGCTGGGAGGGGTGGTGGATGGGTCCAACAAACACAGACTTTCACCCGAGAGAGCAGTGTTCTCTTCCCGTAAGATTCTAAAGCCAAACCCTGTTCTTTTTCCTAAATCCAACCACGTGTGTTTGTTGTTGAACGAAAAAAAACTTCAATTTGTGTTGTTGTACTGACGTAGTGCGTTTATTTTGAAAGAGACTGTATGTTAATGGTAAATTTCCTGTGAAAACAGAAGTGTATTTTGAAAGAGGACAATGCATGTAACAGGCTGAAGTTGACACGGCGTACCAGAACATCAACAACCAATGCACCTAGGGTACCTTGGACAGCGTATCTGGACGTGGAAAGTCCATGACCAAACGTCAATATGTGACGAGGTCGGAGTGAGAGTGCGTTGTCAGAAAACGTGCACAAATATGGACGATGCAGTCTACGGCCTCCAGGGGCTCCGTCCGTCCTCACAGTCAATATGTTACCAGGCTTTTGTTTCTACAAATCAGATCACAACGTCATGAACTGTAACAGCAGCTGCTGATTAAACTTTTCTTTTTAATCACTGCACCATTTAATATGATTTAATACCTCTCCTCCAACCTCCATGATTTTTCTCCTGATTTGATTTTTCACGAAGCAAAAACTTGAGCAAACCCAAAGTGAAGGGACACCAACAAGGCAGCAAAGAACATTTTACTTTCCTGATTGATAAATATCCCACCAGCCTCTTGAATTATATACATATTTAATAAAAAAATCCATCCATCCGTCCATTTTCTGTAACTGCTTATCCTCTTCAGAGTCGCGGGGTGCTGGAGCTGATCCCAGCTGACACTGGGCGAGAGGCGGGTTACACCCTGCACAGGTCGTAAATGACAAATTAAGTTACTTAATTTTACAGCCCATAAGTATTTTCTGCCTCGCTGTATGTGATTAATCAAAGCCATAAAATCAAAACAGCATATAAGCAAATGCCTTTAAAATATCGTATTAATGTATAAATATTAAAACCTTAATTACATTTTTTCCATCGGGT